GAAGAAGCAGAGGGGTATACTGAAAGAAAAGCAGAGAATTGGAAATACCAAGAAGAAAGTATAGAGTTAGATATATGAAGAGGAAAATAGAGAGTGGATAAGGTCCAAAAGAAATGTATAAAGTTGGATTTAACGAGAAAAGTAAAAAGCTAGCTATACCAGAAAAAACAACAGAGCTGACTACACTGAGAGAACAGCATCATTTATCAATGGTAAGTATATATCCATTATTCTATCCTGAGTAGGTAAGTATATACTGTATATAACCCAATTAATGTCAAATACCACAAAAGATCACATCAAATTGTCATGTAAAGTAGCTAACTTTGTTATCTTCTCCATGTATAACTTTCACAAAAACATTAAAGCTAACGAAGCAAAATTCTCTCTCGCCATTTGCATTATTGACATTTGTATGTGATGTAATACAGAGATTCTGCATCCTCTTACTCTAATCTTCCCATCTCTTAATCCTTTTGATCCTTTCTCCTTTGTCGATTCTCTAAGATAACAACGATCTCATTTAATCTAAAATGTATTTTATAGATTCTCCGAAGGAAAAATTTACGGTTGGAGTCATCTCTCGGCCCTCGAATGTGATGATAAAGCATCTTTCTACTTTAAATGAGCACTTAAAAAACTAAAGATGGATCAAATTTAGCAAATAATAAGAGAAAAGTAAGTATAAATAGAAAAAATGTGAGGTAAAGATGAAGTAATTAGCATTCTCTGTTACAATTTCATATTTATTAGGATAAAGTAAAGGATTACAATATAAAATTTGCATAAAAGATGACTAATTAATTTAAATTCTATATTAAAGTAATGTAATTTCTAATATTAAGTTATTCTTTTTCAAAACTTCTCATTTTATTGCCTTTTTTTTAAGCAGAAAACCTTGAAATAAGGCTACAAAAGTGTCATTTGAGTTTGCGCCAAGCAGAAATTGCTTTCCAGAATATTAATATTCATACATATAATAATAATAATAATCATTCATCTTTAATTTTCTAGTACATAAATGAAGTGGATAATATCTATCATTAATCCTTCAATATTTCAATGGTTATGCGCAGAATGCAACAGTGAGACAATTTGCTTCCTTTGTCATTCATAAAGTCATTTAAATGTTAATCCTGTTATTATATATCACATGTAAAGTTCTTTAATGTCTCAAGTTACATCTCACTTCAGCATAAAGTGTGAGTAATGTAATTTCATGTTGCAGGAGTTGGAAAGTGCAAGTTATTTCATTAGTAACTTGATAAAATCAGTGTAAACCATTTCACTACAGGAGGAAGAATCCTTTAAGGATTGAAAATTAACATAATTTGTTGATGATTTATGTTACAAGAACTGGAAAAAGTATGTTAAATGACTTGTCACTTGATAAAATTGGATATAAATTACATACTTGTTTGATTGAAGGATTAGAGAAGGAAAAATCCTTTAAGGATTGTAAATTAAAGAAACTTACTGCTGACACTTCAGGAATTGAAAGGAGAAACTTATTCTGCTTAAAATTTGATAAAATCATGTAAGTGCTTGATTGAGTGCTTAAAAATAGAAGAATCCTACATGAACTGAGAAATATCCTTTATACATTCTATTTTAAATAAAAATCAATCTTAAATGACTATCACAGAATAATATTTGGAGGAATAACTAAATTTCTTGTTTGTGAATGGAAATTTGAGTTATTTCCAGTGTTTATCATGTTTCTCTATAGATTAACGCACTCCTAACCAGTTACAAATAAGCAATTCACATAGGAATTACATTTCTGGTGATGCCCAAGCACATGAGGAGCAAGAGACGTTATTGCAGTTTAGTGTCATCTTAGAAACCAATCAGTCCATACAAATTATAATTAATTCATAGAATATTGCAAGAATACCCAGAAGGATGAGAATAATTGATTATATCAACTGACATAGACTGTAATGTAAACACATTAGCTTTATCTTTGAATCTGGATAAGAGTCTTTCTTGCATTCAAAACTCATTATTTGAGTGTTTCCCAAGCTCAGAGAGTCTGGATAAAGCATTAAGAGAGAATCTGTAAGTGAGTTTAATAAGAAAACAAGAGAAAGACAAAAAAATTTGGATTCATTTCACTTAAAATGAAAGACGTGTTATCAATAACTCAGATGTTATTGATTGAATTCTGTCCAAGTATTTGTCTTGAACATCTCACAGAAATCTGGCCTAATAATTAATTATAAGTCTATAAAATACCTTATTTTTATCCTTGGTTTCTCAACACTCTCTCTACCCTCATCCCTCGATGTAATTTTATTTGCACCTACTTTGGAATTTCCATTAACTGAGCTTTTAAAAACATACATTTTTGGTATGCAATACTGCATCCAAGTTTAGAAAATGAAATTTTTCTATTCTAAATCCAAATTTTAACAGCTTTTGATGATATTCTGTGTTATTATTTACCAAAATATAATTATTTTGACCAAAATATGAAAATTTATAATAGTTTTCTTAACATAAATGCAAATTTTGCATAATTTTTAGTTATAAAATTCATCTTTAAATTTCAAATATCTCTTATAAATTCTATTTACTGTATAAATAAAATTAGAATTAATTAACTAATTTTAAGCTTCTCCAATTAATTTAAAAATTAAATTATACTTAAATTATTTTTTCCTATTTCTAATATTAATTTTTCCTAGATGATAGTTAAATATATAAAAAATCTAGTTTGATGAAGCAGAAAAGAAACTAATTTCTTTCCTCTCTTTCTTCAAACCTCACTCTTAAATGATGCACAGAAGTAGATTAATCTATCAAACTTTATTGATGATGTTCTCTAACTGCGAGAAGCTTTCATTTCATCAAAAGATAAAAAAGGAATCGCAAATTGTGTTAAGAAAAATTGCATGTTTTCTTGTATAGAGGACAGAAAAATCAAAACAGAATGATTATGTGGAGCACCTTGACCTTTTCCCGAACTTTATTTACCAGAACAGAACATTAATAGCTGTTATTTTTCTATTAAATATGCTGAAATTTGACATTTAACATCGTTTTCCATCTTAATTTTGTTCAAAATTAGAAGAGAAAACTTACAATCTAAAATCTTAAATTCCTGGAAAATAAGAGAGTATCATATAAAAATGAGATTTTAAAGCTTAAACTGACTTAAACATAGCAGTTAAATGTATAAAAGCCATAAGAAAAATAAGAGTACACATAAAAAGAAGTTAAATTATTTTCATGTTACTTCTTTCAAAACAAAATTTACTCAAGGGTGCATTAACTGAATAGTAAATAAAGGGTGTAAGAGTAAATAAAGTTTATGACATGTGTTGTGAAGATAACGGTTAATAGAAAGTGTCAGAAAATATAGCAAAAATGAAGTAAATATAAATGAGGATGATGATGATGTTTTAAGCAATATTGTACTATGCATGAATTTGTGTAATACTTTCTCATCTTCAGGCTTTTGAACCACAAAGAGAAGAAAAATGATTGAAAAGATAGAATTAAATATTCGTTTACATCTTCCTCATTATCTTAAACTCTGGAGCACAATTTTTGAATATTTTGTGCTTTTGAAACACAGAGAGGAAAAGGTGAACATTTAGAGGTACTGAGAGTTAAAGAGAAACACTCAAAGCAAACAAACAGAAAGAGTAGAGCAACAATCAGAGCAACTAAAGTACAAAGATGGAACTGCCAAAAGGACTGGAGAAAGACCACAGGTCAGAGGAACTAGAAGAGAAGTGAGCAGTTAGAGAAACTGGAGCACAAATAAAAAAGCAGTTGAATGATCTAATACTATTTTATTTACATTTTTCTGTTTTTAAATTTTGAAGCACAATTTTCAAACATTATGCATTTAAAATGAAAAGAAAAAAATACTTCATTTACATTTTTCGAATTCTTTTAAACTTCTATACAATAAACACAAAAATCCTCTTATATTCTACTTAAGAATTTAATTAGTTTGCTTCGAATAATTCCTATTGTTGCGTCAAGTTCATTGATTTCATTTAAAAGAATAAAGAAAATATTCTTAAAATTAATTTACTTTTAAAAATTTCTCTTTAAATTTCCTTTAATGCTACTATAGCAACAATAATTTTGTATAATTTGTTAAATTAATTATCAATTTTTAATCGAGAACAATTTTAATTAATTATTGTTTACTAATATTTAATATCATTGAGGAATTTGAGGAATTTTTTTAAAATATTTTTTTTCCTCAAATTCATAAACCAGTAGAGTAAAATTCTTACTTAAATTTAATTAATTTATCCTTTATAAGGTAATAATGAAATAAAATTAAAGCAGATGTAAATTTATTTTGTTTTTTTTGGATGATTAATGCATAGAAATCCTTCAAAATTAAGATTTTTATAGTAGAAGTACGTTAATGTAACGAAATCTTTAGTTCAAATTTCAATTTTTATGCACAAAAATCAATTATGGGAGCAAATAAAGCTTCCATAAGCTTTTCTGTCGGTGTGCGGAAAGTCGTCCCACATGCAATTTCTCCCTTGTTGCTCCAATTATTATGCACGCAGCAGTTAAAAATTCTACTTCTCCGCCCAATAATTACCATTGATTGCATATATTTTAGTTAAACCTTCTTTAAAATTAACTAAAATTACACTATAAACATTAAAAAACTCGATAAACTTTTAAGCAGTAATACTTAACAGCTATTCCTACAATAAAGAAAACACGATAGCCCCTGTAAATCCACTTTCCCCTCATGACTTGGCATACTTGCAGCGAAGCTCGATCGGTGTTTCGTTAAAAACCGGTTGTTTCAGAAGTGGAACACGTGAAAATCGTGTTTCAAATAAAAATTTGGGCGCTTTAAAAATAAATAAACACTTGTGGCATCTGTACGAGTATGCAAAAAGTAATCAATCAAGGAAGAAAATGCAGGTAACGCACAGGGGACTGCAGCATCTTTCAGGGGTTAGCAGAGGTTAACATGTAACTTGGAGGGAAGAAAAAAGGGTACATACCTGTTTCGTCAGCTGTGCATTTATCCAGAAAGACGAAGAAACACTTTATGCTAGTCTCCAACATCCATCAGTTAGCGAGACGTGTACCAGAACAGTGTCACTGCAGCCACCAGGAAAGGGTAGTTCCCATTGCTAACCAAGGGGTTGGGATGCGTGACGTGTTATGTTTATGTACAGTACGTTCTGTTTCTATGCCAAGTCACAAGTAGGTGTGGCAATTGTATCATTTGAAACAGATGAATGTCTGCCTTATCGTCAGTCCTGTGTTAATTCTCCTATTGTTAGCCGAATTGCTATCATACGCCGATAAAAATGTATTGTTCGCCCGGCAATTTCCCAATTTTTATTATTTCCCACAATTTTTCGTCTCTGTTTTTGGCTAATTTGCATAAATTTGCTCATTTTCCATCCAAAATTCCGCTTTAAATTTTATTCATAGCCATTTTCTTCCTGGAAAAAAGCATTAAAAATTCAAATTTTTTTGTCGAATTCCTTCGAAATTTTAACAAAAATTCATTAATTTTACATCTAAAAAGTTTTTTGGAGTGTTTTTTTAAGAATTTATTTTCTAAAAATTATTTTTATCAAATTATCTGTAAATATCGATTTTATAAGTACGGAGAATAATCAATATTTACCTTATTTGTTTAATTTCACCAGAATTAATTTCCAAATAAAATAATTGATTTCTGACTGCACATACTATTTGACACATATTACAAGCAACAACGCTTATGTTCTGTTCCAGAGGTGGACACCATTCAAACAACAACTGTCTGTTCTNGTCATAAATTTTAACTTCTCGTATAATTTCGGTATACAGAAAATCAATTTTTCACAGCGGATGTAGAGGAGAAGAGAGGAAAAAATAATGCAATTTTTCTGACTTACCTCTCTAAATTCATACATTTTTATCTATCTTCTAGCCAGGATTTGCTTTAATTTGCAAAATTTAATGTAAATATCTTGTAGATTTGCATAAATAAACGAACATATTCTAACATTGAATATATATTTTTCTACAATTTTTCTTGTTGATCCACATCCTTCACCTGTGAGAATTTCTGATGATTTATCCAAAAAATCTACTCTAACACAATTTTAATGTGTCCAAACTAGAGATTGTGTAATAAATTAATCTAAAAACACTTTTAAGTTAATTAAATTACACACACTTTTGTATTTGATCCACAACAATGTGCATTTTAGTTTTCTCCATAATCCATCCACCTCTCTCATTCCAGGATCAGTAATGATCCATTTGAAACATCTAAAATCCTGATGTTTTCATTTGGATTTAGGATAAATACAAGAAAATTTCAACTGAAAATCATGTTAATTGATCACTTTATGTGCATTTTTTACTTATTTTTATTGATATTTTGATAAAAACTCATTTAAAGTTGCAAACTAGCAAAATCTGTGTCAAGAATTTAAATCTCTCCTTCTACAACTGAGAAGTTTATATCACTCATTCCTATTGTAGCTGGCAAAACGAGAAAAATGCAAATTACTTTTTCTTCCGTTGAAATTTTTTTTATTTTGCTGACTTGCTGCCATCTGCATTTCATCTATTTTCCTTCAAAGATCTTAAACAGTTCTTTTTAAATGTAAAGTAGATTTAAAACTGAGAAAGGAGATGCCGAAGGCTTGACATCGTTAAGTCCGAAAGAAGCAGTAGTGATATGCTAGCTCGATGCTACTTCTAGTATGTTTGATTGTTCCTGTTGTGTAAAACAACACAAAACTCCACAAATATAATGTTTTGAAACAATAAATCGTAGATTTTGACAAGATATAAGAGACCAAAATACAAGTTAGTCCACCCGAAATCAAAATTTTTAAAAAGATGTTAAGTAAGAGAGAAGAGAGAGAAGGCAATAGAAAACTACAAGAAGAATACTTAAAAACAAATTTTATTTTATAATTTCAATATACACTGATTATTAAATTTACATAAGTACAAATTTTATGGCACTCGGCAAATAGGATTCACGAAGATCGTTCAGCCCGTCTTTGTAAATACATAACAGTTCTCTTCTCCTACCTTCTTCTGCACTGTTTAAAATAAACAACAGTTATTAAATAAATTATGATTATGTTTCTTCTAATGTAAATGATAAATATATTGAATTTATTTGCCAAAACTTTTTTAAACTCTGTAGTTAGAGTGAGAATTTGGTCAAAAGCAAATGATAAAGAACTCTATTCAAATGACAGCATCCAGAAATTACATTACGTGGAATTTGAGGATGTGTCAAGTGAAAACTGAAAATGAAGCTTAAATGAAGCAGAGCATGCAGACAATCTTTGTTCTTCAGCCAATTCAATTAATACAATTATATTTCATCACATTGTTAAAGATTCATATTTACTGCAGATGGTTAGCTTCTGTCATACTTCTTCTATACTTTAGATGCTTTTGCTCTTTCTCACTGTTCATTCTATTTCTGAACTCATTTTGTTTTTTGGACAAATATTACCCAAACACATTTTTCTGTTAAAAATATACACCAATCATCATTTATTCTGAAAACATTAAATTAATATCTCACTTTTGACAGCCCCATTAAACACCAAACAATAAATTTGCCTTCAACAAAGTTCATAAATCACAAGTAAATCACAAATTATTTTCTCTATCATACTCTTTCTTTTTATTCCCATTTCCAGTCATTCCTATGGCAATACACAGATTTGTTCATTATTAAATTAGAATAATAAAAGTTTTTGCTATAAGCTAGTGAAAGGAACTGGAATAATATAGTAATTATGAGGAATGGTAAGATTTTTGATTTGTCAAGAAACTATAAAGTAAAGGGACAAGTAAATAATAAAGTAAGAGTTTATTTGGTTCCTGTAGCAGAGAATGGAAGAAGGAGAAGGAATGTATGAAAGCCACTAGAAGGCCATTAAAAATTAAACTAATCTCATTTATAAAAATCAATTGGAGATAACATGCTTCCCTCCAGTATACCAGACAATCCAGAAGGCCTTCAACATGGCAGCCATTTTGTAAAGGTCTTTAATTTGGGAGAGCAGAGTGTTTTAAAGTATCTCTTGCAGATATGACTTGACATTAAGATTTTGTCAATAGATACCAGTGTATCTATTAATGTAAGAAACTTAGTTATTGACAGAGAAACTTAGTTATTTTTCTTATATTAAATCTTGTTTTGCGCATTAATAACATTTAAAATTAATTCAAATTAATGTGATTAAAAACTCACATAACTATAAATTACATTTAATGTTATTACAGAGAAGCATATACAGTGGAACCCCGGTTAACGAACTTAATCCGTTCCGCGACTCCGTTCGTTAACCGAATTGTTCATTAACCGAAGCAATTTTTCCCATAGAAATTAATGCAAATGCAATTAATCCGTTCTAGTCTCCGAAATTTTTGTGATTTTATTTGTAATATACAGTAATTTTCTTTGATGATATTCATACATATAATAATAATAATAATCATTCATCTTTAATTTTCTAGTACATAAATGAAGTGGATAATATCTATCATTAATCCTTCAATATTTCAATGGTTATGCGCAGAATGCAACAGTGAGACAATTTGCTTCCTTTGTCATTCATAAAGTCATTTAAATGTTAATCCTGTTATTATATATCACATGTAAAGTTCTTTAATGTCTCAAGTTACATCTCACTTCAGCATAAAGTGTGAGTAATGTAATTTCATGTTGCAGGAGTTGGAAAGTGCAAGTTATTTCATTAGTAACTTGATAAAATCAGTGTAAACCATTTCACTACAGGAGGAAGAATCCTTTAAGGATTGAAAATTAACATAATTTGTTGANGGGCCAGTGTGTCTTAAAAACACCTCCCAGAAGGCATTCCCCTAGGCAGATCGCCCAAGTGTTGCGTTGCCATAACTTAACAAACAAACAAACTCTTTCCGTAAGGAACAAGAAATTGATCTAAAGTTGATTGTCTTACTATTTTAATCAAAATATTTCTTAAATGCGATAGCACATTGTCGTTTATATTGCGTTGTCATTTTCTACTGCCATTATGACTTTTTTCTTTCTTGGATGCCATATCGATTAAATATATAAATCACAAAACTGAAAAAAAAGCATAGCACAAATACTCGGAAAAGCAATGCTTAACTTGCACATGCCTAACACCAACAAAAATTTGACACAAAATATCATTACGTTCATTATCCGAGACAAATTTTTTGCAAAATAAAGTTCGTTAATCAATTTGGTCGTTAACCAGGACGTTCGTTAACCGGGGTTCCACTGTATAACAATTGAGATCTTATAACATTAAAGTGAAACATTAATGTGCTGTTTACAGTATTTTGATTAGAAAAAATTGTAAAAAATAAAAATAAAATTTTTAAAATCTTCTTTTAAGTGAATAAGAATCATTAGTAGAATTAATATGGATTGTAGATATCAATAAAGACTAATAAAGACATTTAGATAAACTTGTTTCTCCCATAAAGCTCTAGGGAAATCAATAACTGTGTTTGTTGAATAAATAAACGGAAAACAATTCAAGTAAACATTCAAGTAACACTAAACTAAACTAAAAATTGACCGTAACCAAACAATGGTAATGTCAATACTTACAATAATAATAAATAAATAAAATCATCTGAACTAAAAAAATAAAAACAAAAAATTCCTGACAAAATCCTATTTTATTGTATAACCAAATTAAAATCTAATGAATCTCAAGATTTTGAGCCTTCCAGCTCATTGTTGGAGTGTTTACTTAATGCAGAATCATCAAATATCTAAAATTGAAACATTGCAACTCTTAAATTGAAGCTGTTTCATAATAGTTGCTAAGTAAACACTGCAGATAAATCAGAAGGCTCCAAAATACTAGGAACTGATTAATTTTATTATAGAGCAAAATAACATTTTACTAGGTACAGGAATCAGAGGTTAGTCATAATCTGTAAAAAAATATCCCCCAAATGTATAAAAATTTTAATAACAACTAAGAAATGTGTGTCAATGTGCTAATCTACAAATTTAGAAAACACTTTAATATATAGCTGGATCAATATTCTGACTTAAAAATAATTTATTTGAATCATTTTGTTCTTTATCTACCAAACGAAAAGAGTTTAATAATGATGTGACTATATATTGATATTTTGTTGATTTTTATAGTTATTCATAAGTTATTCATACACAGAACATAATAGAATTAATTAATTTCATTAAAAAAAAAACGTTTGTAGTAGTACTAATAAAAAATAAGTTTAAACAACTCTAAATATAAGGAAACAGGGTGCAAGATATTGAATTTAATTATAAACCAATTGAAATTAATGTAAATAAGAGATATAGCACATCGCATACATAACATTTGTCATAATCAAGATATAGATAGAATGCTCAAAATAAAGGACAAAAGAATATTGCAAAATTATCAGCTTAAGGATTGAGTCAACTAGATGATGATGATGATGATGAGGGGAAGTATTATAAAGATTTCAAAGATCAGCAAAACCAAAATTGTAATAAGAATAGAATCTATAACATTTTATAAGAGCAGAAGTAATGAAACATAACAGCAGATATGAATGAGAATATATATATACATTGATGTATTCTTATCATAAACACCCAAAAATATGACTGAAAAATGTTTTGCAAATATGAAAAAAGTGTTATAAAATAAAAAAAAGTAAATATCAAGACATTTGGCCAAAAAGTGAGCACAATTGAAATGATACCTAAATTAATAGATACTGTAAATTGAAAATCTATGTATATTCTACAATAAACTTTACAAGTCTACTCACTTCTGGAAAATTGCAGTAAACAGAAAGAGAAAATAAACAAATCTCATTTATGTTTTCTACTTTGAAAATGTAGATAATCCCTATTGCAAAAAACAAAAATACAAATAATGTCTACAATAAATGTCATCAGAAAAATGTATCAGAATTCCAAGACAACTGACGTCAAATTATTTTGATCGGTTTGATGGACAATGCAACACATGGGCGAGCTGCCAACATGTTGCATTGGAAGAATGGGGAGAATGCCTTCTGGGAGGATTTGCTATGGGAAACCAGCCCATATTTAAACACTACACAATGTGAAAAAACCCAAAAAACTCCACATACACATTTGTTGGTGAGGCATGAACCCATGACCAATATTTGGTGATTTTATCCGCTCAGCAACCAGATTACTTAACAGTCAGGTAATATCTCAAGCTCAAATCCTTTTCCTTTCTGCAACTTTTCAACAGTTAACTTACTATTAACTTTTCAAAAGTTAAATATAAATAACCAAAAGCTATCTAATGTAATATGTTTATATTTTAAGTAACTGACACATCATATGGTTTCAATGAGCCTACAGGACCATCAAGATAGAGCTGGGGATTTTTCTCCAGACATGAAGAAACCTTAGAGGCCTGTAGTAATTCCTATTCTTATAAAATTAACATTATTTTTCACTAACAGAAAATAAAATATTTGAGACTAGTTTTTACTAATAAACAAACATTTTATGTATTTTATTTGTTCAAAAAACATAGAATAGAAAAAAAAGTGTAGTTATCAATTTTCTATTCCTGTATATGACAATCAAGAAGTTAAACATATTTCTACTCAACTTTCCAGACTCTTTCTGCACTACTTTTCTGCAAGTGAAAACAGAATTAAAGGCCAAAAATTTAATAAAAGTTGATTAGTTGACTGAAAATATCAAAATGTTAAACAAGAACTGGGGAGCCAAAACTGAAGTCATTGATCTGGTCATTAACTAGAAATAAAGCTAAAAACATTTGTATAAAATATAGAAGTAGAAGTAATTTTTTTGGTATGTAGTAAGTTGAAATTCATTTTCTGTTTCCAAAGTTTAAAAATATGCAGTAATTTACTATTACTAATATTTATTCAGTTATCTTAAACTTCAAGGACAAATGAAGATGGAGATTAAAGGAGTGGATGCAAGCTCAAGTGTTTAGCGAGTCTTCAAAGAATGACTCATTTTTATTCTCTCTCAGTTCTAAGAATTGCAGTATGATGACACTTATCTTCCTTTTTAGGCTATTTGTTCATTAAACAGTGATAAAAATCCCACAAATCCAAAGCCAGATTATTCAAGTGTCCATCTTCGGCTAAATTATATAATTTGATTTTTTGTAACTAGCACAGTTATAATACATGAATAATCATTTTCAATCATAGGCTATGCAAATATCGAGCTATAGTTTATGTTTTTTGGACAAAAATTTCATTTAAAAAACAAAAAAATATTCTCTGATCTAATTTTTGTTGTATCAACCTACAAGCATATAGCTTTATTATATTAAGTAATAATATAATAAAGCTATTATATTATATTAAGTTATTACTTAATATAATTAAGTTCTTGAATACAACATATAATGAGAGTTACATGAATGTAAACAGTATCATGTCTAAACTTTGCATGCATCGTGAACAAGTACAAAATGCTTCAACATTTCTAATGTCATTCTATGCTTAATATTTGCAATTTGGAATAATAAAACAACACTATACCAACATCACATCACCATTTATAAAATATGTCCAAACACTGCTACTATAAAAGGCTAATCTAAGCTACAACAAACTGTTTAACATAGCTACTGGTATATGCTGTAACATAAGACACACAGCATCTCATGTTATTGCAACCCTATTTAATTAGGGATAAACATAAAAGACATCTGTTTGATCTCTGTTTTTCATTTAAAAATGTTTAAAAGATCATTTTTTCATAGAACAAAGTCCATTTAAGCCATGCTGCACAAAATCAATGTCATTCTGTACATCAATGCTCGTTACATAAAAAGTAAAATTATGTTATGACAAATTCAATTCTTGTTTATCTATACTAAAACTATTTTTTATAGATAATGAACTACAGTAGAGCGTCGCTTATCCGAATCAATTGGGGACTGGTGTTGTTCGGAAGATCGATGTTTCGGATAACCGATTATGTACAAAAAAATATATTAATTTATCCCATCTTGACATTTTTCTCTGTTGCGTGTCGCTTCGCGTTGAATTTTTGTCGATGTTAAGCCTAACAAAGACTATTGTATCGTTAATTATTATTTTTTTATTTTGTACGAACAAAATAAATATATTGAAAAATATAAAAACAATAAAGAATTATACTTCAGAAGTTAATTTAGTATCAAAAACGTAAAATATTTGAGTAGCCCAAGACATAGCCAAAGATTACGGCGCCACAGCACTGGCGAAAATTTAAATTTGTCGACTGGAATTCCTTCGGATAACCGACTTTCAGATAAACGACGCTCTACTCTACTTGTTTTGCAAGAATAAATAAAGTGAGATAGGAAAATATGCAGATTGTTAGTCCTAACCAACCAGATCTAACTTTTGTTCTGGATTATCCAAAGACATTGAGAAAAGGAAGATAGTGGTGAGGAATCCAGTTTGTTCTCTCAAGAAACTGTTAGAAAATGTGTAAAAAGGTTTTGTAAAACTGATTTAAAGAAGTTCTAGCTTTCCGTGCATGGTGAGGAATTTATTGATAATTGTTTCTAGAAATTTGGAAACAAATTTTGATAGAAATAATTTATTAAGCAAATGAAATATGGATACATGTACAGAATGCTACTTTTGTTAATTAAAAATTAATAATAATAATAATAATAATATAAATGTGAAGATAAACAGCACATGTCCAGTAAGAACCTCAGGTTGTCAGTAGGTTTTATAAAAAGTAAAGCAGAATTTCTCTAAATGCAGCTCAAATTATTTTTAAAGTGGCCCAAAAAGTAGTAAGTTGCTCAAATGTAGTAGCCTAGAGCCTACAAATATCTCACTCTGCTACTTGTAGCCCAATCTTTCAATCCCAAAACTCAGTCATATTTTATGAGATGAGGAAAAAAAAGGTTAGGTGACACCCAAAAATGTGTTAGTATAAAAGCAACACATTTTTGACTAAATTAGAATCGTTCTTGGTCTATTGTTCTCTTATAGCATGGAGGCACTTTGATCTAAACAAAAGAGTTAACATATACATATCACAGTTTGGACAGAATTTTCACTTCAAATTTCTAAGTAGCTGTATTTCAAAGTAACCAAATTTCTTAATGTGTAAATCTCTATATTTCCAGTCAGGACAAAAGTACAGTTACAAACTAATGGGATTTTGAACTATCTGAGTTCAATCTAACAGGGATTTCATGTAATAATAACAACTATTTTAATTTATTAAATGATAAAGTCTGATGTTATAATTTAAAATTTGTTTTGAATAATAAATTTATATTTAAATGGTAAAAAGTTACTAATGAATAGATTTAAATAGAAAAGATAGATAATTAACTAAAATATAATTTGAAAATTTATTTTAGTCAATAGATTTTCACTAATATCAAAATAAAGATTAAAAACAGTTTGTTCCTATCTTGTTTATCATTATAACATCATTGAAATTTGTCANTGTGTCAAAATTTCAAAGGAATCGGTAGGAACAAACGAACATTACATTTTTATTTATATAAATAGATAGAAGATGATCTGCTTTAGTTCATTTTCACAGAAAAGCATAATGCCTCACAGAAAAGCAAACTTAGGTCGTCGTACTCGTAGCGCCATCTATTGGACATAAAAGCCTTAACCTAGATTATATATTTTAATTTATATGAATGTTTAATGGAATAATATACAGCCTATGTCCACCCTGAGGTTCCATTCTAAATATTGGTGAAAGAATTTTTGAAATCGAATGAGTAGTTTTGGAGATTACCTGCTGCAAACAAACTTACTTACATACATACTTACAAACATTACCTCTTTATAATATTAGTATAGATAACCATAAGTTATCTGCATCAAAATACAATAAGAAAGGTATTCAAAGTGTATTTTTAGGTCATAAATTATAAATTATAGACTAAAGAATCTAGTATCTCTAAACTTATTGCATAAGATAACTTGTAAGGATTTTAAGGTAAATATAAAAGCCAGAACACAGATATTTTCATGTGTGAAATTATGCAAACATTCTGCATCAGCACAGAAGAATGAATATTTATTGCTTGGAAGTCAGAGGATAGGGCCAATCTGTGCATTTCACTTGGAGATGAACTTGGTGCTGAAATTTCTTCACATGGAAGTCATGTGTTCATGTATTGTCATCTCCACACTAAAATAATTCTATGTGAAAAATATTCATCCTTGTATTTTGGTTTAGTAGTTTAAAATTAATATTTTAAGAAACAATTTTTATGTTAAATACTACAAAATCTTAATACTGTCTTCTCAGGCTTTTGCTGTAAGTCTTAAAATTAATTTTAAAGTTTTAACTTTTTAAGTAATACAAATGTATTCTGTTTATCCTCAAAACTTTTGATTTTGAACTACTTTCTTATCTTCAAAACGAAATGATTTGTATGATAAAAAAGGTTTAAGTGAACTTTATCACCCAATTATAGAGATATCAAAGCTTTGAATACAGCTTAAATCCACGATTTATTAAAATCCTATTTCAGAAACAATTTTTGACTAGATGTAGATTAACCAATTGCCTGTATCTGTAACTTTTCTTATTGATTTTTGATCTGCACCTATCTGCACACCTAAAACCTGTTAGTAATTATTGTTTTGAGATTCTTCTTTGCTTCTGTTTTAAAAATTCTTTTACAAAATTTTATAATGATAAATGACTTTCAGAGACATATTGTTATACATGATTACATTCAGACAAAATATTTAATCAGAATATGTCGTAAAGATTTTTAAAAAATGGGTAAACTAAAGGACTGCACATGAATTATATCAATTTCCTACTTTATATATAATTAACATAAATATAAAAATAAATAAATATATAATTAATGTATATCTTATATCACTTATCATCTATAAATATTTTACAAAGTATCAATTACTTTGTAAAAGATCTTTATATAAACATCGCTAAGCCCAATATATTAATAATAAACCAAATGATTGCTGTAATTAATATGCTAATTAAATACTATTAATAATATAAATGACTATATATATCTTGTGTGTGTGTGTGTGAATTCCTTTTAACTCCTGCAATTTTTGTCCAATCAGATGAAATTTTCGTTATATTCATTCTACATTCTGACAGAAAATACAGGCTACTTATTTTGCAGAAATATTAGCTATGAAATAAACGTTTTATTGGTTTTGGATTGGCAATAGTTCTTTCATTGAAGTGACATCAGTGACCTCATTTTGTTCAGGTTTGACAGAATTTTCCTTAAGTTGCATTTTTATATATTTTTGGCAAATTGCATATTTTAAACTTGCTTCATTAAATTTAAAATTAAAACTTTAACAGAGAGGAACTTGAACCCACTCCAAGCAATTCTAATTAAATATGTCTGGAAGTGAAGAATCACCGAGGACTGGATAGCATAAGTGGCAACATATCCACACAGTAAGTGGAAGTTGCAAGTTCAAATCCTGCTCCAAATCAATTTTTTCTTCCAGAATATTCTAAATTACTTAGTAAATATTATAATTATTAAATTTAATAAGCAATGACATATAATGCTTACCTTTAGTAGCAAATTACTTAATGGTTNAATTTGCCGATTGGAATTCTTTTGGATGATTGATGTTTCAAATGATTGACTTTCGGATAATCGACGCTCTACTGTATTATGTTTAAAAATAAAAAATTTATATTGTACCTACATGATTTTCTGTTATGGATTATATATTTTCATCAAGGTGAAACTTGCCATGTCGACCAACTCCTTCTATAAACTTCTGTGCACCTTTAAAATCATTACACATTAATCTCATGTCAGAGATTGAAAAATAAAAACTATAATCAAATTAAATATCATTAAACTTTTCACCTGCAATGCTTTCTTCTCCTATAACATCTTTTCCATTTTCAAATTCGTATCGAAAGGCATCTTCCATCGATTTGGCATCAAATGCTGCATAATATGCTGACGCCATGTCAGTTCTCAGGCACTTTTGAGGAAACTTTACGAGAGAGTTAGCTACTTTAATAGCATTCCCAAGAGCTAAACATAATTATATGACATTATTTTCCAAGTTACGACATGAGAATTTAGCCAAACAGAAGTTACATACCAGTTCCGCAAGAAACAATATAATTTGCTAAGCCCCACTGAAATGCTTCTTTGGCATTGACAGAGCGGCCTGTTAGAATCATATCCATGGCTCGCGAAAGACCAATTAATTTTGGAAGCCGAACAGTACCACCATCCGTGAGAGGTATTCCTGGAAATAATTTAAAATAATTTAATAAAATTTTGTACCAAATATTAATTACAATGACTCATTTCTTGACATCATTCTGTCCTAAGCAAATATGCAACTAACCAAATCGTCGACAGTAAACTCCAACAATTGCTGTCTCTTCCATCACTCTCAGATCACACATCAGAGCTAATTCTAAACCACCAGCCACAGCATAACCGCTTATGGCAGCCACTACTGGCTTTTTAGACAGGGTCCTCGGTAAACCCTAAATTATAAAACCTGGTATAAATAACATGCAAAAATATATAATATTCAAGCATTTAGAAAAAGATATTAATTTTCAATTATAATTTTAAAAATATAAAAAATTAAGTTCTTAAGAAAGTACAGAAGTTAAATATTTACAAAAGTTAGTTTTTTTGAATAAGTTTTTTTTATAGAAAACAGAATCAGTATTCTTGTACAGATAACTCACAAATATAAATTGCTAGACTAAAATAAAAATATTCCTTAATCTTTATCCTTAAGTTATACTTCCTGTCAGAAAAAATACTTGTATCCAATTTCAAATAGACTTTTATTATGAACTAGCAGACCCCGCCACGCGTTGTTGTGGCTCAAAATGTATCTATTATAAATTTATAACACTTCCCCGTGGGGGGAATTTTTCAAAAAATTTCTTTTTAGTGTACATTCTGTTGACGTACCCTATTAAAACGCAAAAAATCACATCTAAAATAGTATAAATAGAAGCAGAATTCTTTACGGTAAGCCTTAATCCTAACCATCTCCCTTCAGTGAAGGGAATTTCGACACGTATATTATATAAAAACACGTGCATATTCGAGTGCAGCGTTTTGTCAAAATTTCAAAGGAATTGGTAGGAACAAACGAACATTACATTTTTATTTATATAGATGGATAGAAGATGATCTGCTTTAGTTCATTTTCACAGAAAAGCATAATGCCTCACAGAAAAGCAAACTTAGGTCGTCGTACTCGTAGCGCCATCTATTGGACATAAAAGCCTTAACCTAGATTATATATTTTAATTTATATGAATGTTTAATGGAATAATATACAGCCTATGTCCACCCTGAGGTTCCATTCTAAATATTGGTGAAAGAATTTTTGAAATCGAATGAGTAGTTTTGGAGATTACCTGCTGCAAACAAACTTACTTACATACATACTTACAAACATTACCTCTTTATAATATTAGTATAGATAACCATAAGTTATCTGCATCAAAATACAATAAGAAAGGTATTCAAAGTGTATTTTTAGGTCATAAATTATAAATTATAGACTAAAGAATCTAGTATCTCTAAACTTATTGCATAAGATAACTTGTAAGGATTTTAAGGTAAATATAAAAGCCAGAACACAGATATTTTCATGTGTGAAATTATGCAAACATTCTGCATCAGCACAGAAGAATGAATATTTATTGCTTGGAAGTCAGAGGATAGGGCCAATCTGTGCATTTCACTTGGAGATGAACTTGGTGCTGAAATTTCTTCACATGGAAGTCATGTGTTCATGTATTGTCATCTCCACACTAAAATAATTCTATGTGAAAAATATTCATCCTTGTATTTTGGTTTAGTAGTTTAAAATTAATATTTTAAGAAACAATTTTTATGTTAAATACTACAAAATCTTAATACTGTCTTCTCAGGCTTTTGCTGTAAGTCTTAAAATTAATTTTAAAGTTTTAACTTTTTAAGTAATACAAATGTATTCTGTTTATCCTCAAAACTTTTGATTTTGAACTACTTTCTTATCTTCAAAACAAAATGATTTGTATGATAAAAAAGGTTTAAGTGAACTTTATCACCCAATTATAGAGATATCAAAGCTTTGAATACAGCTTAAATCCACGATTTATTAAAATCCTATTTCAGAAACANGAGCAAGGACATGTTGACCAGAAAAGCAAAGTTGGCCTCAGTCTGACATCAATAAGGTTGGGAATGGCAGTCCAGTGTCACGTTGTCCTCTCAACTACTGCAGAACCGTACCCGTATATGCCACACGACCCTTCACAAAATATTTTCCTTTGAAGTTCAGTTTTTCCCACGTACCAGCTCTACTGCTTATTCGGCACTTATGCAGTTTAGGGGATTCAGCAGTTTGAGAGGTTTTCTTCCATAAAATTAATCGATTCTAGACTAATTTGACTCAATCATTTCCAAAACACATAATTTGTTTACAGCATATTTCATACAGATTATACAGATCTGTATGAAATATGCTGTAAACAAAAAATTGTAGGAATAATTATCGAGTGTGCACTGTTCGAAGATGCTGGTGCTTAAGCTCGTTTTTGTGGCGGAATGGCACGTCAGAAGGCGGACACGTACGAAGCTCGTCACGTGACGTTTGAGCCGTTCTGTCGCGCGACCACCCGCTCGTCTCGGCCACGCCTGGCATCTCCGACATATTCCCGATAACGTACTCTTCCGGCAGAAGAATTCTCCAAACTTTGGAAACATTGTTAATAGAAATATTAAAAAATTATTCCATTTTAAATATGGATTAAAATCAACATATAACAATGTATGATAATTTGATAAATAACTAATAATTCTACTCTGGTTTTAAATGCCCTAATTTCTTTCACGTCTTAAGCAAAGTTGAGTTTTATTTATTTACATCAAGACATTAGCCATGGTACATTGCATCCGACTAATATTTATCACGTTAGAATTATTGCCATTAGCGGGCGATTTTACTTTTGTCGTTTTGTACGGTCGTTCATTATTTATTATTATTAGCAAGGACGAGGCCGAAGTCAAGCGCAACCCGACATCCGACGTTTCGCAGAAGAAAACTTTGGCCGCAACCCGGCCATTAAGTTACGGGGAAACATTCATGTAGTTCTACACCCTACAATTACTAGAGTTAATGAGTCATTTTTGACCAAAAATAGTTGAAAATTATTAAATTTAATAAGCAATGACATATAATGCTTACCTTTAGTAGCAAATTACTTAATGGTTAATCATTAATAATAGAACTTAATTAATTAACCCTATTTTAACTATGCTAATCATTTGGTTTAAAATATCTTATCAATTGTTTCAGACTTTGAGCTAATCTTATTGCAAAAGCAGACAGAAATTCTTTATAGGTAGATCATTGTGTTAAAAAATTTTTTACTTCTCTTAAGAGAATTTATACATTTTCCAAAACGTAAATTTGTAAATATTTATGCCTATTTCAAGCTTTCTAAATTTGTAAGGAATTTATGTTTCTAAAAAATTTATATACTTTAAAATTTAAAAAAAAAACATTTTTTTAATTAAAAAACTTTCTAAATGTCCTGTCAAGCAGTTTTTTTCTCTAGTTATCAACTTCACATCATATCTCTTGTCTCAGTTTTAATCAAACTTATTGAAACATTTCTTGAATACACCACACACAACATTTGTAGTTTCTGCTATTTTCTCCAATATCAAACATAACGATGCCCAATTGGTTAGAAATTTCAAAGAAGAGCAACTTTAAATGTAACAAGAAAACGTAAATTCCCCATCCCCAAGTGATGACCAAACCCTGTTACCTTGGAACAAAATCTCCTAGCAAACTAAGAAAAATTAAGCTGAAGTTTTGTGAAGCCACAGAAGCTGCTTTTTTACAAAAAGCTACTTAAGCTACATATCTGCAAGGCAATGACTTAAGTCTTAAGCCTCGAGTTAGCTAATCCCCATTTTCAGAATTGAATGAAGATTTTTATTGCAATATCTCAAAAACTGTGTTAACTTAATACTGTTTGTAATACAATTTTTGAACTCTTTAAAAGAATTCTTTAAAGTTTGAGTGACAAAGAATAACACATTAAAATTAATTTTAATGTGACATATAGAAGAACAAAGAATAAAACATTAAAATTAATTTTAATGTGTTATTCTTTGTTCTTCTATATGTTCAATGCATTAGATGCTATGTGATGAAAAAAATCAGAAATTAAAATGCAATATTAATTTTAATATTTCAAATTCATTTGTATGGTCATTATTATTTCAAAGTAAATTAATCCTTGGGACTTTATAATTCATGCAAATATATAAATTGCAATGGATTCCTGAATTTCCCACCAGGGTTTTGCAGATGTGTATAAATACAACAGATAATGACCTGAGTGATGTTTTAAGAACTTTTTAATACTGTGTCATTGACATTGGATCCTTAAAGAAAATGTCGGCATCAAATATATTGGGTGCTTGTGTTTTTTAATATCATATCATTGGTTTTTAACTAAGAACTGTTTCTATCTTCATATTGTGAACCATCTGTATCTGTATTGGAATTTTAAAAACGGATAAAGACTTTAAACTAACCCAAATTTATTTGTATGGTCAATATTATTTAAAAGGAAAATGCAATATTAAATAATTAGTTTGTTGAAGAGAGTATATTGTAAATAACCCATTTAAAGAAATTAAAAGAACCATTAAAAGAAACCTGCAAAGTTACATTACCATTGAGCTAAATTTTAATTCACTGTCATTGATGCCACTTGACACAAATTCTGTTAAGTCATATCCAGCAGAAAAATTACCACCTGTGTAAATAAAAAAAATTAATTTATGCATATTTGGACATTATGATATATCTGTTTTCACTTTATAAGAAATGCCATATATCTGCGCAGATAAGACGATAGTTGAATCATAAAAAAAGGCCCCCAAAATCAGGGGTTGTCTTATAGAACAGTTACAGAAAAAAAATAGATTAAAATTTATATAAATTAAAATCATTATAAAAAAAATGGACAAACTGTAATTATTTACTAGTAGTGAGTAGGGTATGTCCACAAAATAGATTAGCCCATACAATGTTTTTGTAAATAGTCAAGATCATTACCCGAATGCCCAAATCAGTGTGAATGTTTGCAACAATCGCTGCCAGATGCAAGAAAATAAAATTTGTTTATTTGAAAAATTACAACCAGGACATAATTCTGTATATGCTATGCAGTGTTGTTATCCAGATGATGATTGTTGATCTAAACTAAATTCACAGGACGCTGATAGTTTGGAGGCCATCTTATAGGACGGATATACGCTAAAACTATAAAACTTTGACGAAAATTTATACCTTGTTTTATCTGAAGGTCGTCTTATCTGCGCAGATATACAGTATTTTAATTAAGATTTAATATTTATATATGGTTAACCATAATACCAAAACAATGATTCTCCGCACTTCAAATAACATCTCTACCAAGTTACAGTGTTGTTAAATTGCTACAATATAATTAAAAATGGGTAGTAATTAACTGCCAATATAACTAGACTATATAATAATTGTTCTCTCTATGGCTAGCTACTAATTGAGCTGCAATTTGAAAAAATTGTACATCTATATATTCCCACTGTCATGTGTCTGTCCATCTGTCTTTCCTTAATCTCAAGAATGGAATAAGATAGATGAAAGATATATATGAGACCATATATGGAAACCTTATATGGTCTCATTAACTGTATACGAACTTCTGGTATGCACCAGAAATCACATTATTTCAGTTTAAAAATTTTCCCCTAAAAGATGTTAGATAGATGACTAGCATGACTGTATTGTTAAAGGAAAAGTATGATGCACAGGGGCAAGCTACTACTAATTTGAGGTGGAGAGCATATATTTTTAATTAAATAAATTTAAAATATGATTAAAAATTGCAGCCTGGCATTATGATGATGTCACAATAAATAATTGCTCGTTACAATTGCTGTCCAATTTGGTAATTGAATTACTAATTAACTACATGTTTAGTTTCAACTGTTCTAACTAGTTTTCCTTTTAATTCATTATAATTTTGCCTCAGAGTATTAAGTATGTATTAATCTATTATAATTAATATCTAATGTATTACGCAGAGCAAACATGTCTCAATTTTTGCCAAAATCAACAAGTTTAATTCATCTTTTTTACTCGTTTTTGAGCAATTTGAAATCTCTATATTGACAGCTGATAAAAGTTAAATTCCAAACAGAAACAGTGAATTGGGTTTGCTGTTTTGTCATGCAAGCAAAAACATCATGCTTTGCTACTTAAGTATATTTTTGTTTTGTACTTGCATAGAGATAATTACTATTCTATTTTTTAAATTAAAATGGTTGGCAGGTTATTTTCATGTAAAACTAGGAATTTCATAGACAATAATGAGTTTGTAGCATGTTACACAACTACCAGCATGTAAAGAATACACTTTTTGAATAGCCTATAACATTACCCTCACAAGTGGAATGTCTGTCTTCCTTTTTGGGGTAAATTTTAACACCTGGATAATGCAGAATATTGGATGAAAAACTTGTATTCTTGAGATATCACTTAAAAAATAAATAAAAGTAAAAATAATAAGGATGAAATGAAAACAGAACTGTTATTTCAAGCCAGCTAATTTGTTTTTTCTGTTGCTGGGTAATTTAAATGTAGTTAACCAGTAGTTTCAACTAGTTTTATAAAAACAAATTATCTATGTAATTAACTAGTAGTTAAATTAATTATTTTATAGTAGTTAATTATGTAATTAACTATATTTTATGTAGTTAGTGTTCATCATTAACCCACAATCAAATGTGCTTACTTTTTAACATGCAAATTTGCATAATGTGTGATTTTCTACAGATTTTTCATATCTAATTATGTTGCACTAATTGTAGTTCCTTGAATTTGACAGTTCTGAAAAATCCCATAATGTGTCTCCTCTGCATGTGCAAAAATTTAACTTGTACTTTGTTTAGTTTTTAAGATATTGTTTTGTTTACAGAACATGTATGTCCTTGACTCTTATTCCATACTTGAACTCTTTACACTTTGCAATAGTGTGGGCTGATGTGAAATGATGGATGTGCTGTGGTGTTTCTCAGAAGGATCAGAAAATAATTTTTCAGTATTTTTCAAATATAATGTAGTCAAAGAAACATTTAAGCTGTTGAAGGTCTTAATTATCCCAGCTTCTAAAATAATTCATTCTTCTTTTATTCTCCAAACTACAGGGTGTTTATAATTAAAGTTCCACTTTGAAATGGCATTAAAATGAAAACTACTGGACAGAATGTTATCAAACTTGGTAATAGTGTACAGGACATCATGGGATTTTATTTCCCGTGAAAAAAGAAAGTTCAGAAACTTGCCACCAACGGGAAATGGCACTGTCTGCAATATTGTTAAATGAAATAAGACACAAAGACAATGTTGAAAATGTTTTTAATCAGTTTTAAAACATGTTACAGAGCATATTCAATGTGGTGTCCACCATTTTTGATAAACAAGTTACATTGCATTACTGTGTTCTCAACAGTAGCTCTTAGCATATCAGGAGTAACCCCATAAACAGTCTCATTTTACACTGATTAAAAACATTTTCAACAATGTCTTCATGTCTTATTTCATTTAACAATATTACAGACAGCACCATTTCCCAGTGGTGGTGAGTTTTTGAACTTCTTTCTTGCAGGAAACAAAATCCCATGATATCCATACACTATTACCAAGTTTGATAAAATTCTGTCCAATGGTTTTCATTTTAATGCCATTTTAAAGTGGAACTTTAATTATAAACACCCTGTATATAACAAAATTTAAATCTTTAATTTACTGAAATGTAAATAATTTTAATTATGTTCAATGTGTTTCTCTTCAATATCCAGGAACCTTAGTGATGCCTGCAGTATTATCTTAGTTTTTTGGATACAGGTAAACATGGGGATTGCAATCTTGACATGTGTTAGTGAAGTTCAGTGCAATATAAAACAAAGAAACATGATCTATAATAGTGCTTAGAAATTGAAAGAAAATGCACTAAGTATATTTTTCAAGTATATGTTTCACACATTGTTTACGAATAAATTTGTTCTAGGATTACAAAGCATTTTGGGCAACCCAAGTACATACATTGTTTTATAAATGTATATATCTATAAAATAATTATAATAAAGTACACATGTAAATTAAAGAAAGAAGTAAATAAATTGAAATGGAAACAGAATACCTTAAGAAATTTAATACCTTTTCCATATATGACAGCTGCATAAGCTGAATTGTCTTCATCAAATGTCTTTAATGCATCCAAGAGATGTTTGACGGTCTCGCGATTCAAGCAATTGCGTTTTTCGGGTCTGTTCAGCCCAATGGAGTATAATTTTCCAAATTTTTCAACCACCACCAAATCTAAAAAATATTAAAATATTAATAATAGTTCTATTAAATTAAAATAGATCATTAATTAATAAATGAATTTAAGGATATGACTATAGAAAGATCACTGAAGATTAGACAAATGATTCATTGATCAACTGAAAACATCAAATTTATGAGGAAAGTACTGTTAGACATAGAAAGAGGAATGAAGGAATGTGAATTTACATAGTTTCTGTCCCATACACAGAAAATTTTGTGTACGGGACATATTATAATTTGATATGGATATTCTTATTTTCCACAGGCAATTTGAACTAGAATTTTGTTCCTAATCCATTTCTTAAGAAACTCGAGGAATTTAACGTTTAATGTTTAACATATAATTTGCATGTGGACAAATATTTTTTGCTAACTTAATCATCAAGTTCCAAATACAAAAACATACTACCAAATTCTAGATCATCATTAGAGGTATTCACAATCTGTTGTTTTTCTCATTGCATTGGCTTTCACAGCTTTGTTAGAATCATGAAGGCATCTGTTTTGCCTAATTTCATTTTCATTAGTAGTTTCTATGGCAAAAGCCAACAGCTTTTAATATAAAGCACCTCAGAGCAGCATTTATGAAATTATCTCAATTTGCCAGAGGACCAGAGTTACTTTGTGATTTAAAAAATAATAGAAAGAATAAAAAAGATATTAACCAATCATGGTTAACAATGATGAAGGAACAGTTCACAATCTTTATTTCATCTTTGTGGACCATGAATTTCATCCTTATTTTATGTGTGTTTATGGTTCATAGCTTTTATAGAATGCAGCTCTTCTAAAAGGAAGAAAACCTTCTCATCACAAATAGCACTAATAATCAGTGGATGATGTTGTAGAATTTGAATGTTCCTTTCTTTATTGTCTACATAAAAATTAAATTTTAAAACTTAATTCCATCCAGTTGTTCTGATATTAGTTCATTTCTTGACAACTGAACAGTAAATTATCAATGACTGATTGAGAAATTAATGTTGACAATGTTGTGACAAGATTTTCTCAGTGATAGATGCTGGTAAGAGTTTAGGTCACCCTTATATGAGCCAAAAAACCATGAATAAGAGGTTTTGTGAAAATTATCTTGAAATACCTTTTAAATGTAACCTGTACTATTTTCATTTAATAACATAAATACACATACCAATTAAAAATAGAAATACTGTACAATATATTACAGTTAGTGGTGAATTATCAAAAGATGCCCAGTATTGTTGTTTAAAAAAATTAGTTACGTTTGTTTGTTTTTAAAATTGATTATAGCAATTTACTTCTCTCTATGCATAAACTTAATTAAATTTTGTACTACCTTTGTACATCTACATCTTTTCTAATGATGTGAACTGCTTATTTGTTCACATAAGAATCAATCTGACTGCATATGCATTTTGCGTGTTTGTATCTGTAATGAAAAGTGTCCACTTAATAAAGGTCAATTGTAATAAAGTTACATATTTTTTTTAATACCAGACAAAAAAATTGTCCATCATAAATGAGTGTTTGCTTCAGAGAGGTTTTACTATTTTACTATATGGAATAAACATTTTGTTATGTTGTACCACCAACAATCAACTCTGTGCATTAAATAAATCCTAAAAAATAATCTCGTCATACAAACACTTTCAGTCCTCTCTCATAAACAATAAAATAATTTCAAACAATCTTTTAGGATTTTGTTCCAATTTTACAATTTTAAGTGTTCATCTAGTTTTTGCATATCGTTTGGCACTGCAGTTAGAAATTTCTGGAGAGCCATATCTTGTGAAAAATCACTCCCATACCTTTAGGTTTTATTCATGTAGTTCTACACCCTACAATTACTAGAGTTAATGAGTCATTTTTGACCAAAAATAGTTGAAAATGGAATACTTATGTTAGAAGGAAGATGGGCTAGACCCTGACAATTGGAGGAGATAACTACAAAGACTGGTTGATGTGAAAGACTAACAAGTTATTGCCAAGCAGGGGAAGAGAGTTCTCACTTCAATTCCCTGCAGTTTATACATGTTCATATTGGAGTCACATCAATTGCCAGGATCATAATCCATATCCCACAATTGTTTATTCAATTGAGATCTAGGCTATCTTCCTTCCATTACCTACATTCCACTTTAAGGTCTTTTATATCGAGGTACATGAGCAGCCTCAAATAAAAGGTCAACTCTGCCATAATGACTGCAGCGTTCCTGAGGCACTAAAAAGGGCAAGGTATAAAGACATAAAAATATTCACAAATTAAAAGAAAAATATTTTATTGTTGCCTTTATATATTAATAGTTTGAATATTATTAACATCTATTATTTTAGTACATAGTGTACTGGCAGTTATGGAGTAGTATGTTGGTACTCAGCAGTGTACAAATGCAGTTATGAGGTAGATGGGACCTCACCAGAGATGTAAACCATGCCAATAGGAGTAAAAGAGTCAAGAAACCAATTGTCTATATGTAAATCTTTGCAAAATATAGCTTCCATACATCCACCTATCCAGAATTTTGAAGCACTCAAAAATGGGGTAAAATTTAGAGAAAAAACTCCAGAACTGTTTCTCAAAACAATACTAAAACTCAACCATTTTGCACTTTAACTAGAGGTGACTAAAAGCTCATAAAACATGGAAACATCATTACCCAAACTATTTTTGGGACACAACTGAAGTGATGCTATGCACCAAGGCTGTGGAGTAGGAGTTGGGAGAATTTCTGGCCAGAGAAGTCGGAGTTGGAAAAAATGTGTCGACTCCAACTCCCGCATTTTAAATTTACTTTAGTTTTTTTATTTAAATGAAAGAAAATTTATTATATATTTATTAATTTTTTAAAATCTTTTTGTATTTTGTTATAATTCATTTATTTTAAATACAAAATGTATCAATTTAAGTTATTAAATATATAGTATTCTTTGTAGTATTTGTGTTTAATTGTTAAATTATTTTGAGCCAATTAAATTTGAATATTTTAAAATCAATCCTTTATTGTCCCTGCTCTAAATAAGTACTCTATTTTTCTGAATGAGCCAGACTAATTGATCAGAGTACATATTTTTCTTTTTCTGAACAAAGGACTGAAGTAGCTAGCTAGATCACACACTTTTTAGTTGGACTAATTCTTCTGGAAGGATGAAATTGAAGTGCAAATGCTGTAAAATATATGTAGATGTAGAATTTTATCACCCCTTTCTCTTCTTATTAAATATTTGTTAAAAATTCATATTTTTATACATATAAATATTAATGTAAGTTAAATATTAAAAATACTAATTATAAAAGTATTTGGGTAAATGCCCCAGACTCCTTTCAGAGTTCAGAGTAGGGTACCTCCCTATGAGCATCTCTGCTCCCCATAAAATGACTTGGTATTTAATTTTGCCATAGTCAGGAGTTGGAGTTGGTCTACTAAAATTATCAGGAGCAGAGTTGAGTGTTTTTTACTGACTCTGCAGCCCTGTTATGTACTCCAATAAGTATCACATGTTTAACAAGCAACCTGATGAGCTCAATTCAAGCTCTGAATAAGACATTTGGGACCTTATCAGAGCTGTAGAGCATATCTATAGGAGCAAAAAGTCAAAGGAACCAGACCTCTACAAGCAACTCTTCATAAGATACATCCCCCAAAACGGGTCATGCAAGATCGTAAGTTGCTTTTAACTATTTAGCTTACACGCTATGCTAGCTTTGAGTAGCCCACTTAACTGTTCATGGAATACTTCATGTTATATAGTTTTAGGGGATGTGGAGGTTTGCCCCCACCTGAGAACTGAAGTGTGAGCAATAGCAAGCAATGAAGCACACAACTATATGCAGAGTGTTGGTCAAGGCAAACGATAGTGAGCCTTTATAACGTGGAGCATTGAGAATAGGCAGTATACTGATACTTGTTAAAAACTGATCTTTGGAGTCAAATATCTCACAAAGGGTTGCACATACAGTTATAGTTCCTTGACTTTTATGTTTGTACAAAGAGGTCTACAATTTGAAAACCCCTTCATTTGGAGCTTGAATCTTACCGTAACAATAAGATGTGAACTCTAAATGGAGTTTTCCACCCCAGAATCATAGACCCTCTCTGTATGAGCAAAGAAGTGAAAAGGAACCAAACAACCTACTATGGCATGCCTCTTTTCGTGATTGGTCTTGTATGCCAATCAATACAATTCCATCCACGTGTAGTGTCATCATTGTGACGAGTAACAATTTAGACAGGATGATATGTTCTCCGGGCAGTTGCCAGGTATTTATTATCACGTTTCTATATACAAATTTACAATATGTCAACCTGAAGACAAGGCGCAAGGGGAAGACACGACCGAGCAAGGACATGTTGACCAGAAAAGCAAAGTTGGCCTCAGTCTGACATCAATAAGGTTGGGAATGGCAGTCCAGTGTCACGTTGTCCTCTCAACTACTGCAGAACCGTACCCGTATATGCCACACGACCCTTCACAAAATATTTTCCTTTGAAGTTCAGTTTTTCCCACGTACCAGCTCTACTGCTTATTCGGCACTTATGCAGTTTAGGGGATTCAGCAGTTTGAGAGGTTTTCTTCCATAAAATTAATCGATTCTAGACTAATTTGACTCAATCATTTCCAAAACACATAATTTGTTTACAGCATATTTCATACAGATTATACAGATCTGTATGAAATATGCTGTAAACAAAAAATTGTAGGAATAATTATCGAGTGTGCACTGTTCGAAGATGCTGGTGCTTAAGCTCGTTTTTGTGGCGGAATGGCACGTCAGAAGGCGGACACGTACGAAGCTCGTCACGTGACGTTTGAGCCGTTCTGTCGCGCGACCACCCGCTCGTCTCGGCCACGCCTGGCATCTCCGACATATTCCCGATAACGTACTCTTCCGGCAGAAGAATTCTCCAAACTTTGGAAACATTGTTAATAGAAATATTAAAAAATTATTCCATTTTAAATATGGATTAAAATCAACATATAACAATGTATGATAATTTGATAAATAACTAATAATTCTACTCTGGTTTTAAATGCCCTAATTTCTTTCACGTCTTAAGCAAAGTTGAGTTTTATTTATTTACATCAAGACATTAGCCATGGTACATTGCATCCGACTAATATTTATCACGTTAGAATTATTGCCATTAGCGGGCGATTTTACTTTTGTCGTTTTGTACGGTCGTTCATTATTTATTATTATTAGCAAGGACGAGGCCGAAGTCAAGCGCAACCCGACATCCGACGTTTCGCAGAAGAAAACTTTGGCCGCAACCCGGCCATTAAGTTACGGGGAAACACGTCGGAGAGGCGAGGCGGGGCCGAGACGAGCGGGCGGTGGCGCAACCGAACGGCCGGAGAAACGTCAGGCGACGAGCTTCGTACGCGTCCGCCTTCCAACGTGGCATTCCGCCACAAAAACAAGCTCAAGCAGAGGCATCTTCAAACGGAGCACGCCGGATAATTGTTCCTACAATTTTTTGTTTATAGCGTATTTTATACAGATCATTCCCAAAAAATTATACGTGTTTTGGAAACGATGGAGTCAAATTAGTCTAGAATCGATTAATTCTATGGAAGAAAACCTCTCAAACCGCCGAACGAGTGCCACTTATTCTCCACGCTCCGCATCATTAAGCTGGCACCTCAGCACTCAGGCAGTTGCAAGCCCCACACCCCCTTAAACTGTATAACACGAAGTGCTCGACGAACAGTAACTGTGAACGAGGAGTTTGGATAGCCCACATTCAGAGCTACAATTTCATCGTCGGCACGCTTAAAACGTAAGAAAAAATGAATGCGGTCATGGTACAGAAACGGTCGATCATCGTCTCGCACTGCTTCCTTCAAATTAGGAACTGCACGAATCTTACGTATAATGATTCTTTCACATCACTTTTTAACGTTTATATAAACTCGAATAAAATGAACTTGTACCGTAACCCGCATGTACATCGCCGTCGTTTTGGCACGTTAACGCAAGTTCTACACGACTTTACCTTGCGAATTAGTCTCACTGAGTTCGTCCGAATCTACTTTTGTACTGGAATATCTGGAAACCATCAAATTTCTACACGAATATAAACTATTCCGAAAGATCCTGCCAAACAATCCGACAGCCGCCATCTTGGCACTCGCGTTGCCAGACCATTAAATAAAAAGTTGTTTTTAAATTAATATTTTTAGTTTTTTCTTCTAGAAGAATTAATTCTTGATTTACAAACTACTAAAATAACATAATATCAGTAGTTTAATTTTTGGCTCATTTTTTGTTTCATACAAGTTGATAATTAATTCATAACAATGATACTACTTTCTTTAACTCTTTCCGCCCTGTGGGAACTAAGAGGGCCTCTTTTTCGCCAGCCCAGTATGGGTTGGGCCGGGTGGTGAGGGACGAGGCCCGACATATCCGAACGGACCACCCCCCGAAAAATTCCTGGGGATTTTTCAACTCGTTCGGTTTCGAACTCGGGTCCCTCAGAGCGGTAGGCTGCCACCTCGACCGCTCGGCCATCCGGCCGTCGACCAAGAGACTATACCCGACCATAGCCTAAACATTTGAAAAATAAATTATTTGCTATGTTATATCGTAAAATCGTTGTTGAGCTATTTTTTATTTAAAGTAAAACAGTTTTTGACGTGGTTTTAATTCAAAGTAAATAAATTGCTACAGCTGGGAGACGCTTGTTGCCACGCGACGGCGCAATGCATACGTACATACGAGAAAGGCTTGGACCGTACACGAGGTGTTCATCTGGCAGAAAAGAGAGTAAGGGAAAGGGGATAGGTATTACAGAAAGGTAGGATCTCTCTGAACGGCGTACGAAGTTTTTAGTCTACCAGACCGTAGTCCCCGAAGGGTCTAAAAGAAAACCCGAGTGTAGCCGACTGATTCGTTGCCGCCACCAATAGTTAAGTGTAGAAGTTGGTGCCGAGTGACTGTTAGTAGGAAGACTGATAACTACTTAACTAATGAAATTGAACGTGAGCGCCAATCTTAATATTATTTAACAGATAGACAGACAGCGCGAAAAGAAAACGAACACAACGACAAACTAGACGAGATGAACGGACGGACAAAAGACAAACAATCCAGACTCCAAATTTTTTGTTTTTATTTATTTATTTATTGTTTTTAAACATAGGGAGCTACTCGACTAAGTGGACTGTTTTAAGATTTAAAAAGTAAAGAACATTTTATGTTATTTTTATGTACGTTTATTTACAAAGCTATATTTAATTATAATTTTCTTTAAAAGTATATTCGTACAATTGAAGAATATTTTGTACCGGGTATGTACCGGTACATCCACCACACAGTTTATTTCACCGAGTAAGGTTTTATTATTTTATTTTTAATTGTAACCCTTATATCGCGGCTAGCGATTCAAAATGTAATTGTGATATTAAAAATACATTTAGAAAAGTCTACGGTTTTTACTGGCTTATCGAATAAACGAATACGAATGGACTGTAGACCATCGCTGACGCGCGATTAACTGATTGCCCCTGGAAGTCGGCTTCCTTATCATCAAATGTCACGGCACGCCACCGATGCCAAGTAATCCTATTAATCATTAGACCATCTAACACTTTTCCCAGAGTTGGGAGAAGGCAGATTGGTCTGTATTTTTTGTAAGTCTTAGTGCTGGTGGGTTTGAGAATCAATTTAACACTAGCCTTTTTCCACTGACTTGTGAGTAGGAAAAAGACCAGTGTTCGAGCAGATATAATAGAGAATAAAAAACGCTATAGAATTGCGCGTGTTTAATAATCCTAGTGGTTAGCCGTCAAGGTCTGGGGCTTTGTTATCGGTGAGCGAACGGATGGCATTCGAAACCTCAATGTAGATGAAATTATGGTTATTGTCTGTGTTAGGTGGAGTGAGTGTAGAACTTCTGATGACCGCTTGTGTACCGTCATCCTGCTGTGAGTCATAGACTAGTGAGGATGTGCGTGATAGTTTCTTTCGTGTTATTGGTGTAACGACCATCGGGGAGCTGGATAATGAAGGTGGTTTGGAGCTGGCGTTTTTCCTTACTAAGCTAAGTAGTGCGGTTCTGACCAAGGATTGCGACCGCGAATGTTGGTACAGAAATCCTTCCAAATGTTTGTTCATGCTTTATTTATAATGGTTTTGTAAGCGTTATGTTCTTACCTGTGTTACGGTAAGATCTGGCAACACCAGAGAGAGAGGGACGTGCAAGACAGATGGCCCTGACTAATGTACAGTGGTACCTCAAGATACGAACGTCCCAGCATACAAAATTTTCAGGATACGACATGAAATTCGAACATATTTTTGCTCCACGACACGAACAAAAACTCACCATACGACGTTACATTAGTTCGCAGCGCCATTTTTTATTCACTTCTGTTCATTGGTCTCAGTCCGCGTGTTTGCTTCGTCGTGGAAGGATCTCGTTCAATAAAGGAAATCTTGAGGTATTATCAGAAAGTGACTGATTTTATTGAAAAGAAACATCCCAAAAAGATTCACATTGGCCGTATTGCTGCTCGGAGTAATGACATTTGCCTAAGTCATTTTAGAAACATTTTAAAAGTAGGCAAAGCCAAACCTCTTTGGATAGATATTTTACCAAGCGACCTCTATCCAGTGAAAGTGCTGGTAGAAGAGAAGAAAGAAAACAAAAAAGCAGTGAATAAAAAAATTTAAAAAAAATATGAAACAGAAAAGATAAAAATAACTTAACACTAATTTTTTAAAGTTATTGTTACATTATGTTATGTAAATTAAGTTTTAGTATCATTTCCCTTCTCCCTCTCTTCCGCTACCAGTTTACACCTCCACCTTCGTCTATCCTCAAAGGTAAAGTGCAAATAAAACTACATTTTTTTAATCAATTATTATTCTATTATGGTTATTTATACATTTACGACTACAAAACGCATTTTTCAGTCTTTTCCTTACTACAATTTTTTTAATGTACAACTTAGCTTTAATTTGAGTGTTGGAACGAATTATTTGGTTTTACATGTAATCGTATGGGGGAAAAATGATTCACCTTACGACATTTTCATGATACGATCTCAGTTTCGGAACGGATTAATTTCGTATCCTGAGGTACCACTGTATAAGGGTGGAGATCGCCCGGTCCAAGTAGGATCCCGAATAAAGCATTCAGAATAAGTGTCTGTATTCCTGTGTCGCGGGGGTCTTAAGTGCGTCACGAAGGGCGTATAAACACTAAGTAAACCATATAAAACAACCTGTACTGATCTCTGAGTGTGATTTTAATGTCTGGGTCCTGTTCATTCCTAAATTTCCTCCTTAATCTTCTAACCACTTTTTTCTTGTTTTCTATTTCATTGGTCCACCAAGGTACCTTTTTGTGTTTACAATGTTTGAGCTCCGAGGCAATAAGACAATAATGTAGGAGTTAGTGATTGTATTTGTAAGCCTGGTGACAAGATGGTCTAAGGTGTCCTGAGTATAATGATTGTGGTGAGGACTACAGCCCAAATGTTATTGAAGGTGTCGCAGAATAAATGCCAGTTATTGCGAGTATAGTGAAAACTATGATTGTTAGTATTACTAGTAGTGTTCAGTTGAGTGAAGATGTACCTATGGTCACTGGCAGAATCTATGTCAGTGGGGTAACAGTGGTCAATCCTAGGGGTGATGTGACTGTTTCCTAACGTTAGGTCGATCCAACTTTCCGCCGTGGTACAGGAGTAGGTCGGAAGGGTGCTGGTGTTCAAGTGAGTAAGGTTGTGTTGAGCCATGGTTTCGTTAATTACGTTACCCCTAGGGTCATCTTTTAGACTATACCATGTCGTAGACTTGGCATTGAAGTCACCTCCTATTAGGATAGGTTATCTATGTGTGAGTTCAGGAGGTGACGAATGTCTTCTTTAGCCATCTCAATGTTAGTGGAGTATGGAATGTAGACAGAACACATGTAAAAAGAGTGTTATTGTAACACTCCCTTTACATATGTTCTGTCATATGTAACATGTCATTCTGTCTTACATATGTAACACATTGTAACACAGACGGTGGTAATGTATTCTGTGATGTGTTGGGAGACAAGGCAGGGGGTAATGTTTTTGTTCCTGATGATAATACCAGCCTCGATAGCCAGGGTCCTGAGTTGGATAGACTTTCCAGTCATTGAACCTGACTATCACGTTGTTAATAGTATAGGCTCCTGGATCATGATGATGTCTGTATCTTGTACAGTAGTGTATATTGGAAGCGAATGAAACTTTCATTTCTGTGCATTAATCTGTATGAGTTTATAGCTGCCTGTGTACGTATTGTGAAGGGGTGTATTATTCATAGCCACCCTACTGGCAGCTTATGTTTTCATGCGTTTGGTTATGGGGTACTGTTGAGAAAATGCGTTTTGCGCGGTCTTATGTTTGCTCCCTTCTGGTAGAGTGTTCTTCTTTCTTTTTCTTCTCAGATGTTGATATGGAGATTTTAGCTCATATAGGCTCTTTCTCCGACAGACATATGTTTATGATCGCTATGCGACCGAAGAGCCAGCCGTATCCGAACGGCCTATACGCGCGCGCGGGAAATAATGCCTTCCGGGAGGACTTTTATGGGGAACTGGCCTCCTATTCAGTCGTTATTGGCAAGGAGAAAACCCGGAAAACTCGAAGCAGCCAGCCTGTCCGATCGCGGCGTGAACCCACGACCGAACTTCCCAGTGTTTAGGGTCTGGTCACTGCTATGAGCGGCAACGGAGACCACTCGCCCACCTGGTAGAGTGTTATTGGCCTTCGCACAATTTACACAGCACGGTTCCTGACTGTGGATGCGGAAAACCTTGTAGCTGTGGTTCCCATGCAATGACTACAACGCTGTTTTACTGTGCATTTCCTAGCTAGATGCTTCCTGGCCGTAACCGTAGCGTTTGTAAGAGCGTGTGAGAGGGATGTAATCATCTATTGTTATTGTTGCCCATTGCACACTAACATACTACTGTTGGATTGTCGTGTTCCTAATACTAGAAGTAACCTGAAGGACAACATGTCTGCCGTGTTGCGGTCTATCTTGAAAAAAACACTGCAAGAGTCTTTGAATTCCTGAAGAATACGTGTAGTATTTATTGCAGTGTTCTGGTTGTATAGTTCCTCGATGAAGTCGCTAGTTTTTCTTTAAATATGACATGGCTACAGCCGTTCTATGTAGTATACGTAGCTAGCTTTGTTTTAACGACTTCATCTGACCCACGTTAAATTGCCTTCGTCAGCAATAAATTGAAAAAATATATATTGCGCCCATGCAAATTTGAAAACAAATGATGACCTGTGATTGGTCCATTTCAAAATTAAATTTTATAACAGTTCCAAATCGCCGTTCGCTCGTTTCGCCGTTAATAACGCGCTAATGGTGTCCGAGTTATGCTTAAGGCCTTTAAAAAGTTGGCATTTTGCATGACTAAATGATATATATCAATTTAGGTCCCAAAAAAGGAACCTGATTAGCAAAAGTTCTCATTTATTGACGATGTTAACCATAAAAAAACGCATTACGAAATCGAATCTTTCTGTCTATTAACTGCTAGAACGTTGTTTTGCCCTCTTAACGACTTCAACAATTCGCCGACAGAAGATTAAATCGCCTACGTTAATAATAAATTTAAAATATACATTACTCCCATGCAAATTTTCAAACAAGTGTCGACCCGTGATTGGTCGATTTCAAATTTCATTACTAGAGGCGGCCAATGGTGGCTCTTCTATGAGTAATTGTCGACTGTTGACCTTTCTCATTAATAAAGATTAAATTTGCATTTCTAGAAAGAGAAAGTTATTAGTGTTTATGAATATTTTTATTGCATAGGACATCTCCCTTGAAAATGCCAAGAGGATTTTATATTATTTTACTTCAAAGAATGAATTTAATATTGTGAAATTGACCACTTTTGCGTATGAGGATGAAGTTTATTTACTAAATTTGTGACTGGAAATGTTTAATATTTTGCTGAACAGATGGCAGCACTAATAATTTAACTAAATTAATCCGCCTCTTGTATAACATCAATATTAAATCCTAAAAATTCTTGCAACAACTAAAATAAGGTCATTGATCGATTCTGAGGATGAAATTTAAAATGGACCAATCACGGGTTATCGCGATGTGATTGGTCCATTTCAATTTTTATTTAAAATTGTTATTCTAGTGCAGATAAGGATTTTCAATTGAACTGTAATTTAAAATACATCAAAGGCATTTTCGGGTCAAAATTCAGCATTTTTAACACAGAAAGCCTTTTAAGTAATCTTTTAGAGTTTGACTCTAATTTTAAGCCTGAATGTTTCTCCGGATCTCAATACTTGATCTATAATTAACACGTAAAGGCCCTTTTAATCGTATAATAAGCTTAAACGACCCTTTACAATAATAATAATATTCACGACAGAACTTTTAAGTAAAAAAGCCGCGTTTCCTTAGGAAAAGGCCCTACAATAATTAAATGTTTATTTTGAATGGATTTTGTAAAGATTTTTACAAGAATTTCAGATTTATTATAAAAATAATACCTTTAGATTCTGCAGAAATTATTGACAAATTAAGAGGCCTTACTCGTTAATTTCTTAAAAGTTTTGTAAGAAAATAGCAGAATACATATTAGTGCGGGCCTTAAATTTTGTTGACAAAGCTAAAAATTTACAAACATTTTGCATCTAAGCACAGATTTACGGGATATCGCAGCGTGGATCATAATAAATTTTCGCTTAAGCAATAATCTACACCAAAGATAAATATTTTAAATAAAGCGAGATACTTCACGCAACTGATTTACCTAGAGAAAAACAAAAATCTTCAAAAATAACTTTCATATAATTTTGTTTTTATTTGCTATCTTTAATTTGTGTTTAAAACCCGAAAAGCGTGGTGTGAAGCGTGCTTACTTCTTTTTCAACGTAAATTAGAATCTTTACGCATCAAAATTATGCCTTCTAACCACTTTAGGGCCTAATATCTGTATAGATGTCTCTTCTGGGTATGTTACAAGAGAGAATGTTTCATCATCCCTCGGAAGAGAGGAGGTTTGCAGTTACACAAGGTCTCGTGCTGCGTGCACTACTCCGCCTCTCCAGATTGTTACTGTAGTAGTACGAGACGACAATAATTTTCTAATTTTCTAGATGGTAACTCCACCTGCACTTTTCCTATTATTAGTGAAAAAAATTGGGAGGGCCTCTCGCTTAAACTCCGAACGAAAATACCGAAATAAGGAGGCATAAATAGGGGTTATTTTGTTTCTCCGGCGGTTAATGAATTTATTCACCTAATGACAAATGTTTAATTTAAAGTAAAGCCTCTACCCGGTAGTAATACTATGTTACACCTACTTTTGAGGCCTCAAAACACCAGATTTTTTAAATGTAAAATAACAAATTGCAATAAGACACTGTTCAAATTAACCAGCTTTCTATCATTTATTAAAAATCGAGCCTCGAGGCCCTGTATAATGTTCTATTCTTTGAGGCCTCGTCGGCAGCCTGTTAAACATAAATTCTAGTTTAGTATAGGAGTGAGAACGTGTCTTTATAAAAAGAAGAAGAAAACATTAAGGTCTACTTATTTGTGTATAAAATAAAAAGGTCTACTAGAGGCCCTAGATTTCTGTAGATCTAAATTATATCTTTATAGACTGTATGCTTTTTTAATATTAATTAGATGTAAACAGAAATCTTGTATCGGTATTGGAGATAAAAAAAAGTAAGGTATTAATCACTAGAGATGCCCTAAACAAGCATAAGTAGGAGGTTTTTTTTTTATTAACGTCTTCAGCTTTCTCTTAACGTTATCATTAGGCAATATCTAAAAAATAACGGGATGAGTAA